TGGCCTAGAATTCACAGAGGTCCGCCTGCCTCTGCCTCCTAGGTGCTGAGATTAAAGGCATGTGCCGCCACCACCCAGCTCCTTCCTTCCTTTTAAAGAACAGGAACTCTGGCAGTTAAACTCTCCCCAAGACACCAAGCACCAAGGAACCGCTTCCCAGCTTTTATTAGAATGCAGCAGTAGCTCTGGCTCCAGAGGCTGATTCAGGAGATCAGCAATGACACCAGTGGACTGGGAACCAGAGCAGGCAGGAGAAGGGAGGAACACTGGGTGTACATGAGCTGACACTATCAGATCAGAGGACAGCCGTATCTTCTTCCCCAGGCCTTGGCTTTGAATCAAGGAGGATTCTCCCATGGCCCTCTGACACCTTTGATGCAGATTCTCCACCCTCCCCCAACAACTTGCTCAATTTCTTCACAGCTGTAGCTTGGCAAGTCCCACCACACATTGTGGCTAATGCGTTAGGTAAGCCAGCAGTTGGGCTGCTCACATCTGCACTCCAATATAAGGAGGCTGTCATCTCTGTGGTGTGGACCAAACTCCAACCTTCTGAGCCTGAGACTCCTCTGGACTACACAGCTTCTGTTGGCACAGCAGTCTCAAGCACCAGCTGCATGCCTGGGCAGGTGAAAGTGGCCAACAGAGACAGGCAGAAACCCAGCCTTTGTTGGGGAACAGCCTTTACATGAATATGAACATGAGAGGATGCTAATAGTGCACAGCTGGGAGCACTATCTGGGATAGAACAGTAACTGCCTGTCCATCCAGAACTCTACCCACACCTGCACGACATTTCACTAAGCATTCCCTAGACTGCTGTACCCACAATCCTATTCCCCACTTCCTGAACATTGAGTTCTGAAGCCTCAAATCTACTTCATCTACTCCCCCACCTCAGTGTGATCCAGGCTTCCAGTAAGTCTTCTTGGCTCATCTCTAGAAAAACCCAAGGACTGGTTGCTTCCCACCTATCAAGCTACCAGTCACAGCATCTCCCACCTAGCCAGGCAGAGATGCTACCAACAGGCTCTGCCTGCCTCCAGCCAGAAGAATTCTCCCAACCCTTCTCAAATGCCTCAGGTTAGGGGCCTGACCACTGATCTCTTCCTCACTGTATAAAATGTCAAAGAAATTTTTAATACAGATGCCAGTCCACCAAGCCAGGTATGTGACCTATGACATTGTCGGTCAGCACAATGACAGTATTTAGAATTTCCTATCAGGAGTTAGGAAGACCCAGTCCTACAATCCCTCCAGGCCAACTCACTTTGCTCCATCCAGACTCCCCCAGGACCTCTCAAGGATATCAAAAACTCAGGAACTTTATGGAACTTTAAAGCCCAGGACCAGAGTTTATAAGAATGAAGGGGGGGGGGGCTGGAGAGATGGCTCAGTGGTTAAGAGCACCGACTGCTCTTCCAGAGGTCCTGAGTTCAATTCCCAGCAACCACATGGTGGCTCACAACCATCCGTTATAAGATCTGGTGCCCTCTTCTGGTGTGCAGATATACATGGAAGCAGAATGTTGTATACATAATAAAAATAAATAAAATCTTAAAAAAAAAAAAAGAATGAAGGGTGGGTGGAAAAGAAGAGGTTGAGGGCAAAGAAACCAAACAGAAGCTAGCACTGAACACAAGCGATGGACAAGATAAAGAACAGAATTTCAGATTTCCAAGGTTTCATCTACAGATTTAATGACAGTGAGGAGAAAAGGAAAATCAAAGACAATTTGGCTTGTGAAAGAAAGCTAGCCTCAAACACCATCTTGCTACCATCCATCAGGACAACTATGCAAGGTCTTCCTTTGCCCTTGCAGGGTCTGGGGACCTAAGTATAACTCCTCATTTAAAAAAAAAAAAAAAAAACCAAAACCACCTCACCTGAGTCACAGCCTAGGACAGAGGAAAAGAAGAGGAAGCTCCATGGAGCTCTAGGAGAACCTGCCAGAACAGATCCTAAGTAAGTGGTGGCAAAGAAATGAGTATGCAACTTCCATGTCACTGGGAAACCCCTCCAGACAATTTCTGACCTTGACATCAGTTACTGTGCAAAGCTAGACCCCTCCTTACCTTTTCAAAAGTCAGAAGAAGCCACCACCCCATATGAACTCTTAGAAGGCAGGACATAATGGAAAATATCCCAGAACTAAATATAGTGATCACCACATACACAAGTCAAACAAGCCGTAATATTAATGAGGCATGAATGAGCAGGAACTGTCTCCAGGGCTGAATAGAGGCTAGCCACCTTATCAGGGAAACTGCACAAAGGCTTGCTGTGGGTGCCCCTTGGGCAAGAGTAGAAGAGAGCTTTCTTCTCAAGTAGGGAACCCAATTATGACCAAAGGGAGATTAGACTGAGGGCATTTTCTTGTGAGCAACAGTGAAAATCTGTTTCCAGTTTAACCTGCAACAGTGTAGCTCTGACCAGGATGCATTATTAATTAGGCAAAAGAGAAGCCCCATTTTTAGTTACCCATTGAATTCAGCCTCTTCAAACACAGTGACCTAGAATTGACAGTACAGCTAACTCTCTGTTTATTGTGGCAATGGGGATTTCAGCAACGATAGCAGCCATTGGAAAGCAAAAATAATCCCACTGGATGCTCTACAAGGTATCTACTCCTACACTGGGAATAATGGCTTCCAGTGGCCACTGCTACTAGTCTAGCTTTCAGAAATTGAAAGCACACATTTCCATCTCAAAAAGCCAAGCACTTGGGTCCACTACCACTGGTGGCCTGGCAGGCAGCAGAGCACCCTCTACTCTGTAGAACAAGGGATTTGGGGAAGATAGGGTCATTGCCCATACCTACCCACTAAGCAGCTCCCCTTTAAGCAAGTGGGATATGACTGCAGGCAGGGGAGCACAGGGCAGCAAGCTCTGGGAAAGAGAGGCAGAAAGGAGTTCAGATACTGGAAGCTGGACAGGAAGTCCAGCAGGAGACAGGGAGAGAGTTGGCTGTACTGGCATGAAAAGCCCCACCCCTCAGCAAACTGCATGGCATTTCTAGGAAGAAAAAGCAAACCGCTGTCCCACCTCGGGCTGCACGGTCACAAGTGAGGCAGGGCTGGGCCCAGTCGCCATTTGGACGAGAGGCTAGCCCCAGGTGCGGCAGGCAGGGGTGGCGCTGGCTCAGTGGCTGCAGCTCCTCACTCTGACCCAGCATGGCCCCTGTGCGGTGCTGTGGGCACAGCGAGGCCTCTGGTGCTGTTGGGCAGGGACACACACACACACATACACAGAAAGAGACACACCATTAGAGGATGTGCAGCAGCATGTAAGGGAGATAGGCCAAAATCACCCAGGGTCCTGCCTTATCCTTGCAGTCAGTCCCCTGTGCTTGGAAATTACAAAGAGCCTGTGGCCACATTCTATCCCTGGAGTGCAGCTCAAGATCAAAGTAAAGGAAACAGGAGTATTCAGAGCTAGAGCATCAGAGCCTTAGAAGCAGGCAGGGTCTATGGCTAAAGAGCTCAAGCATGGCATAAGAAGAACCTGATGAAGCAACCAGGCTCCCACACTCCCATCTTGCCCCTGTACCGTGTTCTACCCTGTTCATCAACTATGGTGGCAGTAGCCCCTTTGTATCTGCCACAGGAGGGTGGCAGAGAAAATAAAACAATTCTCTAGTAGGCTTGTCTTTAATTTCATTTACTTATTTACTTTGGGATGGAACTTAATCCTTAATCCAGGGAGATTTCAAAAGGTTTAAGGGTATCTTTGGGTATAAGTGATCTCACAAAAGTCATCACCATTACTTAAGGAAAGCAACTCAAACTCAAAAAATAAAATTACAATAACCAGAAATATGACAAGGAAATGCTAACCAGCTCCAACCCTAGAGGTGGGAAGCCTGACTCTGATATGTAAGTCTCTCGAGTAATACATTTCTCAAAAATCTAACAGTAGTCCAAAGTCAGACTGAAATTTATTATACAAAAGCAGGAAATGCTGGCAAGTAGCAAAACTATTAAGAACAAAAAGTGTTCTGCCATAGTAGTCATGCAAATAGCACACACCTGTCACCCAGCACTCTGAAGGCTGCAGAAGGAAGACAGCAAATTTGCAGCCAGCCTGGCTACATAGGGAAACTCACCAACAGAAAACAAAATGCTGACATTCTGTACCAATTTCAAAAGGTATTGCTTTGGAAGCCTGTTTCTGTTGTCAAAAGATAAAGCTTATGCACCCAAGGGCTACCAGAGCCACCTTTCTCTCTTGAGTTCAGGGTCCTCAGGGCTACCCACCCCAAGAACAGAGAATTAATACTGTGCCTTGGATCACTTCCTGGCAGAGGCCAGGAGGCCAGCTGGATCAGAAACCAGCTTCTACAAGGCCCCAACATCACTTCCTCTCTCTGAAACCTCTTCAGAATACAGAACAAAGACCCAACGTGATCCATCACATACAATCAGAACATAGATCAGCCCTGTGTAGTGCAGACTCAGCCATGCAAATCCCGAAGACTTTTTCCATATGTGAGGAGGTCTTGCTGATGCTAACCTATGGAGTGTAAAACAGAAACATCCAACTCTGAATAATGAACAATAATGGTAAGCACTGAACCATTCCAGAGACCTGCAACTCAGTCAGCAGAAAGACACTTAGTGTTAGAATCTGAAGCAGATGATCAAGCCTAAGCCTGTTCCTAGCTACCAGGTATTTGGCTCCCTGCAGGTTTGAGCACCAGGACAATTGCTTTGCTGACAGACATTCTTCAAAGAGAAAAAAAAATCTGGTGAGACTGGCCTTAGAGTCCACTTTCTCCCAAGAACCTAAGAAGCATGGGCACAACCTTGCCTAGACCCACAGAGCAGCCTGAGTACCAAAAGCCCCCCTGTGACTTACTCAATTCAGATCAAAGCTATCACGTGGATTATCAGAAGCTGAGATCTGAGGACAGAATGGAACCTTGTGACAGCAACTATTTTCTCAGCCCCAGCACTTGCCACTTAGTGCTTGAGAAAAGGTGGGGTACTTTGATTACTCACAGCCATGGTAGGAGGCCGGTGAGCCCCCGGCCTTGCCATACTCCTGCTCCGAGTAGCTGGTAGAAAGGTTGGGCTGGCTGGAGCCACGGCCAAAGGTGATCTGGTTGCTGCCCACGCCAGTAGCCACCTGAGCCATGCGCTCTTTGGTTTTGAGAGCCTGGACCCTCTCAGCCTTCAGCCGCTCATCATCCTTGAGAAGGGCAACTAGCTGCTTTGATTTCTCTCGAACATTGATACCCTGGTCTTTGCCATCGCGGTCAATGTACTGGAAGTCCTTCAGAGTCTGAATGGCAAAGATGTTCTCACGGCACTGCTGGGCCACACGCTCAGAACCCGTTTTGATAAGGTAGTCCAGCAGTGTCAATGCCTTGTACACGTGCCGCCAGTTCTTGCCATGGTCATTAAGCCGCTTCCAAACCATGCTCATGATCTCTGAGAAGGCCACTACATTGTAGGTCAGGTCAGCAATCTCGGTCATCAGAGAACTGGACGGGCCCCACGGGTCATTGGAGGTGGCTTCCCGAACTTTGATTTCGGCCTCTGAGTAATTGTTCACAATGTTTTTCATCTGCCGTCTGATAGATGAAGTCGTCATTTTTATTGTTTGTTAGACATGTAAAGCCCTTCAAGAGAAACTTTCCTGTCCCCTAAGCCTGCACTCTAGAAAGTTTCAGTGCAGGTAATGCAGATGGGACAAAAAGATGCTCAACAGTCATTTCCTCCTGCAAAGCCTCAAGTCCCAGAAGCTGGAAGCCATGTCCTGGAAAGAAAAAGAAGACGTGTTGCTTTGGTAAGAGCACTGGTGAGGAGGGAAAGCCCAATATAAGCTGTGTGAGAGAACACACCCCAGTTCCATGGATGCAATACAGCCATCCTGCATTTAAAACTAAGGTCAGATCGCAAATGTCACTTGCTGAAGAATAAACCATAAAACAAGTTTAAACCTTAAGCAAACATCATGACCAATGTTTCATCTCCTAAGGCTTTCCCAGGGGTGGGTAGCTTGCAGACTACATGGTCACTAAAACCAAAAGCCAAATGTAGGAAGAGCAGGGCTGAAGGAGACATCCTGATAAATGTATTTTAACCTTTGGTGCTGGGTACTGAACTCTGGGCCACATAAACCTCACCACTGAGATGTATTCCTGTCCAGTCCTGAGAGTTTTACATGTGGGGGGCAAGAAAGTTTCATTTCAGGAATTAAATGAACATTAAAGTGCCTGTCCATGCCTTTAAAATTGGGTTTTGGCTCACAAGACCCTAACTGCCTGAAAAATTCTCCTTAAGGGCCATTTCTCTGTGACCCTCCCTGAATGTGGATCAGTGAAGTCCTGACTGCTCCTCTAGAGCAAGGCTAACAACCTATACCACCACCTCCACTTCCCATTGTTCTACCTACCCCAGCTTTCATGTGACTAGGATTAAAGCCTAACCCCTCTTTCTCTCACAGAGAAGCAGAGAGAGACCCAGAGCTATAGTCACAGGCTCCAAGTGCACCCATCTCCTTCCTCCAGGTGAGAAAGAGCTGGAGCAAGATCCACATCTCCAACATGGGGCTCTGGTCCTACAGTATGGTAACCAACATCTATCCCATCCACAGTGAATACCCAGCAACTAGCACTGTACCCAACATGGAATAAACACCTGAATGAATGAATGATACTACACTTAGAAACAGTATTCCCATCCTCAAAGCCACAATTCAGCAGGAGATAATTTCTCCATTTGTGAAATAAAGAAACGGAAACCCAGAAGATTCTCAGGACAACTGAAAACTGAAGAGAAAGCTAGGTCTCTAGCAAGCCCTGCTATACTCACTCAGTCCCTGTGGCCTTTGTCTATCCTGTGACAGTACAAATGGTTCTTCCATTACAGATGTAAAACATGAGCTATGGAGTCTTATAGTTGGCTGGCTACTGTTAACAGTCTGAGACCCACCTCCCTATATATCCTCATGCAGCCCAGAACCTGGCATCTGCAGTGGACCTTCCTCTCCCTGGATTGCTGAGGTTTCTGTCAGAGAAGCACCAGACAGCCCTACCTTCCTTCTCCAAGAAATTCAAACAGGCAATGGGTGCATCAAAAATAAGCAAACAAAACGGAAACATACAATGGTCAATCATCATATGCACCCACACGGGGCAAGGAGGAGACGGGACATTAAGCTTCAGGTGCCTTCTCTGCTCACTCATATATGCTGAGGAGTCTGCATGTGCTCTTTCTAACGGGTGGCATGTTCTACATCTCTACCCATCTGGTCAGCTTTCCTGAATCCCCCAAACCTGTCAGAAGACAGAGATAAAATCTCTGTGACTATAAGATCAGAGTGACTATACATCTAATTTAATTAAGTTTTTCATTCACAATGTGATATTCATTGCAGGAGAGGGGATAGGCCTCACACAAAATGAAAAAAAGAGACCTTTGATTTTCAGTGGGCATTTATTTCCCAGCTTAACCAGATGTGTCAAAGTCAGTAATCCTGTTCAGATCCACCAAATGCCCAGGGCTCTGGGATATGTCACTTGATTTGGGACTGGGCAAATATGCCTGGCCTTCACTTAAAGGACCCAGGTTTAATTCCCAGGACCCATATGACAACCCAGGAAACCTAAAGGTCTCTTCTAGTCTCTTCAGGTGTGTGCCTGAGAGAGAGAGAGAGAGAGAGAGAGAGAGAGAGAGAGAGCGAGAGAGAGAGAGAGAGAGAGAGAGAGAGAGAGCGAGAGAGAGAGAGAGAGAGAGAGAGAGAGAGAGTGTGTGTGTGTGTGTGTGTGTGTGTGTGTGTGTGTGTACAAATGTAGGCAAAACAGAGGCAATATTGGCATATACCTTTAATCCCAACACTTGGGATGCAAAGGCAGGCAGATTTCTGATACAGGCCAGACTGGTCTACAGAGTGAGTTCTAGGTCAGCCAAAACTACATAGTGAGCCCCTATCTCAAAAACAGTAAATAGCTGGAGAGATGGTTCAGCAGTTAAGAGCACTAGCTGCTCTTCCAGAGGTCCCAAGTTCAATTCCCAGCACCACATGGCAGCTCACAACTGTCTGTAAATCCAGTTCGAGGGGATCCAATACACTCACAGAGAATATAATATATACAGGCAAAAAACCAGTGTACATTAAATTAAAAACATTAAATAATAAATATTTAAAGAGAATAAAAGTTTCTAAAGCATGTGAAATAGCCACTATTATAGTCAAAGCAAATGGCTAAAATTCCAACCAACAGCAAAGCTGAACTCACCTGCAGGTCTGAAGAGCCATACCATGAGTTGTACAAACTTTAACCTGGGGCTAAAGTTCTGTGGCACAGGTTATTTAACCCATCCTGGATTCTATCTCTCATTCAATAAAGAAAGAAGGGGGGGGGCAGACATCATGGAATTGCAGCTACTAAGGAAGGGAGACTTGAGTGCCTGAGGCCAGCTTGGGCTACATAATAAGATTAAAACTAATGAGGGAAGGAAACCAGAAAGGGAGAAAAAAAGTACTCAGGTTGTGGGAATTTTAAAGCCCCCAGGACTCACCTGTGAGTAATGGAAAGGTAGGTACATCCCCTTTTTTACACAGACAGGCAATCTCAAAGCCCAGACTGGCCTCAAGCTCACAACTCTCCTGCCTCAGCCTCCCAAATTATGTATGCTAGCACACTTGGCTGCTGAAAACTTACTTTCTAGCCTGCAGCTGAAATATGTAAGCTTTACATGTGAAGAAATCATCCCCCAACTATCTTGAAAGCAGTCTATCAGTATTCTTTGGAAGTGGACAGATGGAGGACAGGGACAGAGGTAGGGCCAATCAGAGCACTGAAAACCAGACCGGACTACCTGGAGATCTCCAAATAGGACTTCAAACTAGTAAACAAAAAAAAAAAAAAAAAAAAAAAAACAAGAATGCGCTGGGCGTTGGTGGCGCACGCCTTTAATGACAAGGCTGGGACCAGAGACTGTTAAAGACAGAATCAAGAAGGCATTGTTTTTTGTTTTTTAAATACTTAGTCAACATCTAAGAAATTCACAAAAATCACTTTTTTGGGGGGGGGGGTTAAACTGTGTCACATCAAAGGAAAGCAAATCTTAGAGACCGAAACAAATGTCATTATTCTTTAAGGAAAGGAGAACACAAGTCAAGACATCCCATCATGTGAATTTCTGGGTCCACCATGCCAGTGGCTCTGCTACATGGGAAGTACTTTGTACTCTGTGGGTATGTTGCTGTGAGCAACACCCAAGAACACACGAAGCGCAAAGCTGCCAACAGCAAGAGGTAGGGTATAGAGACCCTTGAACCTGAGAGGGGCCTCAAACAGAAGCCTAGCTTAGAGCCATACTAATGACATAACAATGCCAGGCTGACATCAAGAACAAAGTACTTCTCAAGAATGCAGCACAGCCAACAAAAATGGGGGCTTCTTACTCTTTTGTAAATGATGCACCAGGAAACAAAGTAACCACTACACCTGGGTAGACTGGGGAGGTGCAGTCTGAGATACCTAAAAAATAGCCAGAATTCAAGTGACAGTGGAGACTACAAAGAAACAGAAAAACCTCCATAAAAACTTTAAGGCTAGGATGATGTACCTGAAAGCAAAAATAATTCCATTAAAAAAAAATGAGCTTATTTGTGAAGCTGGGCAAGGAAATGCCTTCCAACCTTGAACTGCACAGCTCTGGGCAGCACAGCAAGGAATCTGTCAAAAATATAGACTGGAAAGATGACTCAGCAGTTAAGATTACTGGCTGTTGAGAGGATGGGGGCTCAGGTCCCAGCACCCACAAGGTAACCCCAAACCATCTGTAACTCCAACTCCCTTCTGGCCCTGTGGGCACCATACATGCTACACATATATACATATATATACACATATATACATAAGCAGGCTAAACGCCCATCTACAAAGAAAGAAAGAGAGAGAGAGAGAGAGAGAGAGAGAGAGAGAGAGAAAGCAAGCAGTGAGGAGATCCTCAACCACCAGCTGACACCAAAGTAACTCTGTGGGTTACTTTGGTGTATCAAGGACCAATACCTACTCTGAGGGACATAGCAACACCTGTCTGTCAACACTCCCTCCCCAAGACTAACAGACACAGGTCATTCCACAGTGACTCAGGCAATGCAGGCCCAGCTGATTTAATTTCTACATTGAGCATCCTCGCCTCAGATGAAAATTCAAATGGGGGCCTAGCAGCCTCCTGTGACTTTACACATACTTCATCTTTCTAAAAGCAGCTGACAGCCTGTGAAGTGGGTATGCCTACATTTCCACCAGTATTGTGCCAATGTGGTCCACATACTCTGCTTATCAGAAGTTTCTGGAAACCTATTCAAAATCCAAAAGCATAATTGGGGAGCAGAAGGTGGCACACTGAAGGGAAGACAAAGTGCCAATGGTCATGTGATGTGCAGAACTGGAAAGAGGTGTAACTTGGTAATCCTTAATTAACTGGCTATCTCCTGTATAGGGAATCCATAAGAGGAAAGACCTACATCTTCTTCAGAGACAAGTACCATGGTGTTCCTACAAGGAGGGTGCTGAGACCACACAGTTCATGTGACGGAGCCAAGCAGGCCCTCCAGAGGACAACAGCCCAGTCAGAACAATATGGACAGTGCGACATTCTTTTCAACAGTGATCATTTTAGTCTGAAGAGAAAGGGCTATTGTGGCTCTGCCTCAGCCAGGCTAGCTTTAACTTAAAGCCTCATAAACTGCTGCTCTCACAGAGGGGACAAGTGAAAAGGGAAGGTTCTTTATTCCTCTCACAACACACACACACACACACACACACACAAAAAAAAAAAAAAAAAAAAAAAAAAAAAAGTGGAATTCAGCCACAAAGAAATGTCCTCTTCCCTAACAGAACCTACCCACCTTATTCCAGTAGTTTCTGACTGACTAAAAAGGTCAAATGTTTACATCCACAATAAGAAAATGGGCTTCAGAAAACCTTTACATTCATAATCTTGAAGGAGGGAAGACAAACATGTCTGGGCTGATTGGTGGCGGAGCAAATGAAGTCATAGTTTTAAATGTTCCTTCACAGAACCAGAGGGTGTCAGTCAGTCCACCTACACTAGCATGGAGACTGAGAGCTGACTGAGCAGGAAGAACCAACCCCATGTGGCTCAGCACTGTCCTTCAGGCAGACAGAAGGTCCTCCCACAGAGAACCAGACAGCATCACTGAGGATCTAACAAATGCTCTAACAAGCTCAGGAGAGCTGACAGGAGCTACACAGCCTCCTGTGACTTCCATGTCCATAACTTTTCTAAAAGCAGAAATCCAAAACGTGCGCGCATGCACATTCGTGTTTTGTTTTTGTTTTTGTTTTTTCTCTCTTCATTAACAGGTTCCACCTGTTCAGCCTTTAGGAAGAACAGTCAGTGGGCAGCACTTACACATGTAGTGAGACACAATCATGAACTGGGTCCAGAAACCTGGCTGGAGCTGTTGCTGTTGATCCAGCAGAGGATGAGAATATGATGAGCTGTGCCTCCCACTGGAGTCAAGGATAAAACACCCTGACCCCTGTACAAAATGGCCCCATACACACACCTCGACAAGAAACAAGTTCTCTCTTATCTTGTGCCTACACACCTCCCCAGATTCAAGAGTAGTTTTGCAAATACCCAATCCTGGGCAGTATTGTTAGAGCCATGTGAAAAGGCATGCCAGTGGCATGGTGGAGAACCAGGGAACAAGACACTAAGGTTGAAGGCTGTTCTGGCCCAGCAGCTCCAAGGTCAAGGACCAATAGTTCTTGAGTCTAAAACAATGGCATTAGACCAGATGCTCTCTGCCAAACCTCTGGCTAGGCAATGATCTTTTCTGTCAGCCCATAGGCTCCCTGTGGGACAAAGGTAAGACTTCTGCCTTCTGCGAGTACAAAGAGAAGCCCTCAAAACCTCATTTGTCCAGGCCAGCCTAGTCTAGCCAGTAGATTCCAAGACAGGCAAGGCTACACAGAAAAGTCCTGTGGGGGGAGGAGGGATGGATAGGGAGGCAGGATGGGATCACCTCATTCCTCTAAGAATGTGATCAGACTCTGCATTTGTAGCATGCTATGACTGACCCTGGCAATAGCCAGGAGGGATAAACATCCATATCATACACACTTGAACAGGCCTCTCCACCTAGGGGCAGGCTGTAGATGACCACTACTCATACTTCCACAATTGTCCCAAAGATGCTTGAGGAAATGCAGAGCAGCCTGGGAAAATCTCAAGTTCCCATGATTTTGTGCTTAATTTAGACCTGGCTGGTGACTGGGTGGTGCTAGTTTTTAGCTATTGGCATCTCCTGAGGAGCCAGAGCAAGGAAGCAAAATGGGTAAAAAGTAGAGCTCTCAGCCACAAGCCACAGCCTCTAGGCTTCTGGCCCTACAGTGATTTCACACTTTCCCAAAGGTAGCTGATGGTGGGTGCCTGCCCAACTGAGGAAAATGAGTGTTTGCCTCTCTGCTGCCCTGAAACTAGCGCGCACTTCTTGGGGTCAGCTTGGCCACTGCGCACAATGCTATGAGGAGGGGATGGATTCCTGTGGGTGCCAAGGGAGTTACTTACACAGACTGCTGGCATTGGTGGCTGGCATTCCGTGCCTGCAGCTGGCTATGTGCCACACTTCAGCAGCACTAGAGTGAGACAGAGAGACAGAGTCTGGGCTCTCCTCACCAAGTTTAAATGACCTAAAGAAACCATTCAAAAATAAATGTTATGGAGAATGGTCAGGTCTGAAGGTAGCTCTTCCAGTGCCACTGTGTTTAACACTCCCTCTTCTCCCAGCATTTTCCTCAAACAATAAACTGTCATCCAGAGAAACCTCCCTGCCAGACAGGCTCCTGCTTAGAGCCCTACCCATCAGCTGCTTCCCCAACCATCTTCATCCTTCTCAGTTACCACTGGGCTCTTTGTCATTTAGATGTTAGTCGAATAGAGTCCTCTCAAAACTCAAAGGGCTTTATTTATTTTTGTTTATTTATTTATTGGCTTTGAGGCAGGGTTTCTCTGTAACCCTGGATGTTCTGAAACTTGATTTGTAAACCAGGTTGGCCTCGAACTCAGAGAACCGCCTGTCTCAATGCATGTACCACCATGCCCAGCATCTCTTGACATTTTCTTGTTCCCAGACTGCTGAACCCAT